GTCAAAATTTCACCAGATCAGTATGAAAATATCTATACAATCTCACCAATGTATTGGGTTAGCTATACTAGTTTTTATATATAATTTTTATTAACTATTTTAATTCTTATATTTAATTGTTTGCCAGCATTACAAGGTAAAGGATGTAAAATCAGTGTTGTTTCCTCGAGCATAGACTACAAAATCTGTTCAGTCAAGCAGTATTTATAATTATTCCAATTATTCACGGAGAGCACTGGACCCTTCAGCAGGTTACATAGCAGAAAAGGTGGGAATTTATGATTTCATTACCCAACCCTATGCATAGAAGTGTTGCTGTGAGATAGTGAGTTTTCTAACCTTGAACTGTTTACAATTTCGTGATTATTTTAAGTGACTTAATTCTATTCCATATATTGTTCAGATTGCAAGTTTAAATAAGGATTGTAAAAAAGCCTTCCGTCAAAATATCACTAAATGGAGTTTCTAAGACAATGAAGAAGGCGCAACTCAGACCAACAATACAGATTGTGGTATGTTCGTTTTGCAAATACTATGGACAATATTGTTCGATAAAAACAACTCCGGCTGGATGCAGAGAACGGATTGGTAAGAAAAAATGCCCAAATATAGAGCAAGAATTTGCATACGGATTGTTTTGGCTGCAATGAAATGAACTTTTAATATTTTAAATTTATGTACATAACTGGTATTTCCTTGTAATTAAGAAAGATTCTATTGTTGAATATAATGTTTCTCACCATTTGATCATTCATATAAATCGATTAGAGAAATTTATACTGAGGAATTTAAAATACGCACTCTATACGTGAACCATATGCGTTTCAGACGCAGCTCATACAACGTATATACGCAGACAACGGTTCATGGTTTTTTAATCAATAATCCAATTAATTCGAATGCAACTCCCTATCAATAAAACCAGCAAGGATCGTCTAATATAGGTTTTTCACCTTTGATCCTTATTCAAATCGATTAAGAATTATTTTCATTAAGGTTTTATGATATACGCAGCTTATACGCTTTGCGTACGCGAGTCAAACGCAGGACATACGCATTTCATACGAATAAGACAGTTCTTGGTTTTTTGATAAAAAAATTAAATTAATTAGGATTTAAATGTTTCGATGCATTCTTTCGGTATGAAACATTCAAATACTCATTTTTAGCATCGTTTTAAAAATGATTTGTATGAATTTCCCAATGAGACTTGATGGTTGTGTACACCCTTGTGCTACACAAGTGATGGTTCTTGGGTGTGGGTGTAATGCTCCTATAGTGGAGCATTCATTAGAGTATGTGGAGTGGAGTCAAATTAATTCGAATGCAACTCCCTATCAATAAAACCAGCAAGGATCTCTAATATAGGTTTTTCAACCTTTGATCCTTAATTCAATCGATTAAGAATGTTTTTATTAAGTTTTATGAATACGCAGCTTATACGCTTTGCGTACGCGAGTCAGACGCAGGCCATACGCATTTCATACGCATAAGGCAGTTCTTAGTTTTTTGATAAAAAAATCAAATTAATTAGGATTTAAATGATTCGATGCATTCTTTCGGTATGAAACATTCAAATACTCATTTTAGCATCGTTTTAAAATGATTTGTATGATCCTTGGTCTCGGTGTAATAGACAAAAAATTTAGAAGAATCACTAGACTCAAGCTCTACACTCATTACACTTACACCTTGTAGAAATTCTTGTTCAAAAAATGATATAGTTTCTTTTAAATAAATTGAGCAGCTTTCTTAATATTGAGCAGTTTTTTATTACAGGTTCTATTTCGGAGTGGCTGCATTTTAATCCTCATCCTGTTCATTCCGGCGCCAATTTCCTCATCAACTTCTCTAAACCCAAAAGCAATCAGTTAAAGAACTTGTGGGCTTAGAAATGCCATGACACACATTAATAGTAGACTCGCTACGTTGTGTGGATAGAATGTCCATGCTAAAATATCCTTATTGAAGGCATGTGACCACTTATTCCTTATCCTATAAAGATCCTGCAACCAAACATGATCTTGGAGGTTCCCTTGTATGATAATTCAGCCCATGCATTCTCAAACTCTCCTCAGAGTCACATATGCTCAAACACTTATTGAAGAGGCCTTTGACTTTGTTGTTGGTATTGTAGCACGATACTTTTGATAGAGCCTTTTTTCGGATATGCCATTGGCACAGTCTATGACGACTGTGAGGTAGTGCAACTTCTATGGCCCTAGCCATGCGCTGGTCTTGATTCTGTTTGATCTGTATATATTGTTATTGGCTGTTTATCACCCATCATTCGAACAAAAGTTGTAAACACCCACGTAAATGATTCAATTGTCTCTTCGGACAAGAAGGCCACCCCAAGCAAAATGTTTTGCCAATGATTGTTAACCCCGACAAATGGTGCGCATACCAAATTATACTTATTAAGCCTATAACTTGTATCAAAAATTACCACATCACCAAAGCAGTCATAATCTATCTTACCAATCGCATCAACCCAAAAAAAATTTAACAATCTATCAAATTCATCCTTCTGGACATCCCAAGAGAACATGTTATCATTAAGTTGTCGTTCTTTAAATAACTCAATCAAAGTATTAGTGTCCCCAAGTTCAATCTTAGCTCTTTTTATTTTTTGAATAAAGTTGTACGCATCCCTCCTTGTGAATCCAATATTTTCAACACCTCCAACTTCATCAGCAAGGAAGGAAAATGCATCAATTGTTCTTATCCCAGCATCTGTCATTGCTTTAAGAACAGAAGCTTTTTCATCACACATATTCCTGCATGATCTAAGAAGATGTCGGTCTTCTGCCTAGGCAAATCATGATTGTGATTTTCAATAAATTTTTTCACCTTCCAATATCCAGCTTCATCCACTGTAAACCTAACCATAGCTGGACAACCAGTTCGAGTATCTGATCTTCGATATTTCCTTTGGATATTAAGATCAGGCAACTTCTTGAAACCAGCTTTTGAACAAACAAAGTCCTTGGATTTTAAATTTTTGGAATTTGGCCAGTAACTGTGATGATCCTTACGAACACTAAAACCAAGATTATATCCATAAGAACGATAAGCCTCGTATGCTTCTTTCTCATTAACATAAACATCCTGAGAAATATGCAATAAGTGAATGGTAAAAGACGCAACCAATACGCAACATATACGCAAATGATAAGCAGCAATTAAGCAACACATACGCAATGTATACGCAATATATACGCAATGTATACGCAATATATATACGCAATGTATACGCAATACATACGCAAATAATACGCAACAAACCTTTGAAATAAGAAAATCGAACTACAAAATCCTTATTGTAGCCTAGATCAATAATGCTTTAGAAGAAGAGAACATCGAGTATTCTTTTTAAATCAATTACAATTTTACATTATGCACATTGTTGATAAAAAACCGCATCTTTGCTAAGCACAATAAATGCACAACGAAAACTTGAAGGAAGCGAACTTTACCGAGATGCTGAACTTTTCGTCCAAACCCACTGGTTCTACGTGTTCTGCTTCATGTGCGTTTGTTTCCGGGACGTCGGCATTCTCAAGGTTATCGGCTTCCTCCGAGACCTGCGAAAATATTGTCTGCTCATAAAAACCAACATCCTCCTCCAGATCAATCTCCATCTTCATCGGCATTTTCTCTGCGAAAATTTTGGCTTCTCGGCGAAAATTTTGGCTCTAAGCTTTATATATTGCGGTGATTCGCGCGCGCCTTAAATTCTGAAAAAAGAAGCGCCAACCTAAATCTCCCGGGTCGGGCTGGAAGACGGGTCGGATTTACGAGGTTTACGCGAGTCAATTGACTGTTTAACCCTTTCCGCGTAAGCAACCGAACACATGGTTGTGATCTGATTCCACACGCAATAATTTCTCGTTGGGATAAGGCGTGTTTAAATAACTGGGGAAACTCCATAAGCTGCAGCAAAAGCTTGCTACTACGCAGCTCAGTTTATCAAGCTGCGGGTTCTTTTGGGTATCAGACCAGAACGAGAATTGTTCAGTTGAGAGAACCTTATCAGCTGCTTTTAACGCATCGATTCGCCGCTTTGAGAGGGTGTTTTTCCCTTCTTCCAATCCGTGATTCGATACCCAAGCACGATAGACGCAGATAAACATAGAGAAAGAGGACAACAATGGCGGCATTCTCCTTCCTCTCGGCACTTTCTGTCGTAACCGCGCCTTCTCAGCCTGATTTTCCGTCTGGCAAATTTGGAAGAACAAATGTCAGTGGAAGTCTCTTATCTATGCTTGCTTTAGATATCTGTCCAGCGGATGGAATCGCTGCCTGTTGCTTCTTCACTATTCGCGTTCTTTGACTACTAATTTGACGGATTGCAGTTTTTGTTCTCGCAAGCTTTCCTATTTTGTTTAACATTGTTGTTCATCAACAAAAGGGGTGAATGGATTTCACAGAGGCGTCGATTTTTCTTCATTTTAATATTTAAAAATTTTATTTTTCGAAACCAGGGCAGAATCAGGTGTCATTACGAAATGGAGGAATCTGAAGCCAATATGAGAGTTCAGGAGAAGCAGCTTAATCGGCGGGACGTTCTCAGATGCTTCAGCACCGTCGTTGGCCTGGTAAATAATGTTAGAGTTTTCCACGTATTGTCGAGTTCTTCGTAGATTGAGGTTTTACAAATTGCTTGAATTAGAAATTTCTGCAATGTTATCATGGACTACGTATGGTTGCATCAAATCAAGACAAGCTATTGAGAACGTACTTCATGATAAGAAATGCCTACTGAAGTGATGCGATTGTCCTTTTTTTTAATGATTATGGTCGTTACCTTAGGCAAAACTCACATGGGAAACTTTTTTTTTTTGGGGGAATTATGGGAAACTTAACTAAAAGCATAAAAACGTCTGATTGATAGTTTCATACAAGTGATATGTCCTAACACTTATCATAGAATTTAAAGCTTAATTTGGTCATTTGTGATATAAGATGGATGAAGCTGTCGGCATTTTGTTCAATTGATTGCTTTTTTTTTTGTTTAACCCTTTCTAATATTTTCTTTAATAGTAATATATTGTTTATGAATGTGAGTGGATAACTGTTCTCTCAGGAACTGGTGCTTGGTTAAAAAGTCAGTAATTTTTTATCAAACCAATATTTTTATTTTATCTGCACTGCATTTCTTGAACCTTTTCTCAATAATTCCTGTGTTCTAGAATAATTTATGATGCGATGTTGAGTTTCTACCATTCTTTATAGGAAATGCTAGCAGGTTCCGGATCACTAACACATACTGCCATTGCTGCTGATCTCATCCAACGAAGACAGCGATCTGAATTCCAGGGCAAGTTCTCCTTTACAGTTCTCTATCTGGGAATATGCGTGTTGTCTAAAGTTGTTAGCTGCATCTAATGTATTTGGTTACCATTCCAGCAAATATCAAAGAAACCCTTTTTGATGCAATAAAGGTAGCTCTCTAATTTTTTAATAGGTGCACTGGTTTGGCATTTCACTTTATAACCTTTTCTGCTGTCCATTGAAGGGACACCTTGAGCTCATACCATCCATACTAAGACTAGCGCTCAATGATGCATTAACTTTTGACAAGGTAAAAGAAAGAATATCTAGGTTTTTAACTTGGATTGCAATCCTGTTGATGACTTAGCTGTTTGAAATGCTTGTTTAGGCTACGAAAACAGGTGGGCCAAATGGTTCTATTCGATTGAGGTGGACATTTTAACTCTTAAAACTTTGAAAGTCTTACTATTGTTGACTTAATGTTTCTGCTACTGTCGTTCCTGTTGCTTTTTCTTTCACACTTTAGCCAGGAGATTAGCAGGCCAGAGAATACTGGGCTCACTTCTGCTTTAGATCTGATAGTGAAAGCAAAAGAAGAAATTGATTCCTACTCTAAAGGAGGTCCCATTTCATATTCTGATCTCATCCAATTTGCAGGTACTGGAACACATTTATCACAAAAAATCATAATCATGAGCATCATCAATCACAAAATGTAGCTTCATTTTTCAGTCTGATCTGTTGATTATGATTAAGTTTAATTGGCCCAACAATTCGTATAACATTTTCAAAGAAGGACATCTTTGAAGGTATATCGTTATGAAATCGTGGATTCTTTATTATTCTTTGTAGTCCATTATTTTGGAATATCACATGTGGACATTTTCGGTTCTGTCTAGTATCTATGCATCTTTGATCATGGAATTTAACCTGATCATACATGTGAAACTTTTAAATGATGCAATCACACACCAATACCATTGGGTGAATAATGCTTTCAATGCTTTTTCAGCTGGAATTAGAAACCTGAAGTAACCACTTAGAAAATAACTTATATTCAATTGGGATAGAAAAACGCACTGCTTCCATCCATTGAGTTATAAAATTGAATTGCCACAGCTTTAGAAATCATTATGGAGCCTAATCATAAGAAAGCTTTTATAGATGATTAGTTGCAGCAGAACCAAACCATGTACTGTTAAAATTTAACAATCTGTTTTCTACTTATTCTTACAAAATAAAATTGAGATTACGGCATGGTGTTGTTGTCTTTGGACATCATTTACACATATGGAGACTAGTGAATTGTGAGGTCATCTTAGAATGAACTTAGATGTTAATAACTTATATTATCATAAATTCTTTTTTTTCTTACTCAAATCCAATAGAAAGATTTGAAAATTGTTTTATACTTTGGAGGATACTATAGTTTTTGTGTGCTTAAGAATGATAGGGATCCTAACATGAGAAAGTTGAACCAAGAAAAATATTCTATTACTTATGCAAGGATTCGTTAAGCTTCATGCTTGTTGGATAAGCTTAACATTTGCAGGAAGCAATGCACTCCATTTTATTATCTTTTAATATGTGTAACTTAAAAGATGGCCTAAACTAAAGAATATCCTGTGATTATTAATGTACAGGAAATTGATGCCTTAAAATGGTTGGAACTTTAATACCAAGTTAAGCTGTTTTCATCAATGGGATTGCCCTGCAAAATTCTCTCTAATTGCTTCACTAAAATTGCTTCATTTTGATTATGTCACTTAGCATTTTCTTTGTGATTTATATTTCAATGGCAGTCTCAGTTGCCTTTCCTTTAATGTAGCTCAAGCTGCTGTTAAAAAAACATTTCTTTCTTCTGCAATTCGCAAGTGTGGTGGGAATGAGGAGAAGGGACGCTTGCTATACACTGCATATGGTTCCAATGGCCAGGTTTATTTACTTCATCGATTCATTTTGCAACTTACGCTTAATAACTATAACAACACCCCTACGACTTATCTACCTTCGGAGTATTTGATTTTGCATTAACACCATTGCTGATGTTAAGGGACAAACTATATTTGGTGGACAAATGAGATTTAATTGATGCATAGTAAACTAAATCAGTGATTTGCAGAGTAATTACTATGTGCAAAGTTTACATGTTCAGAAGCCATTTTGGACTTTTTTTCGAGTTCTGTCCAACTGCCCGTCCAGTGTCGCTTGTATGAACACTTTTATGCTGATTTTTCTCCATGGTCCTTTGCAACTATGAAATCAGAATGCTTAAAGTTGAAAGATGAACATCATACCAGCATTTTCTTTGTGAAATAGCCATCATTGTGCGAAATTGCGCAATATGAGACTTTACTTGAGGCCCACCTCAACGCAATTCTTGTGAAAAACTCCTCGAGCTTTTTTATGAGGCGTACCCCTCAATTTGGCTAAGGCACTCCTTGCCTCCTTGGCGTGAGGCATACGTCTCACCCTATATACGTTGTCAACTATTTTGGCTTTCTTTATGAATTAAATGTGGATGAGTAGAGAACTGAGAAAGAAGGAACTTGGAGTTGAATTTAATATTATATAATACATTTATGCAATTCCTATATTTTATTATTTTTTGTTATTATAATATTTGGATTTAAATTTTATTTCAAGCAATTCATTATTTACTGTTGATCCATATACTAAGAAACGCGCGAAAAAGAGGCGAAATTGATGGCTCAAGTGACGGTTGGCGGGCGCGACATGTCATTTAAGTGCTCAAACGACCTCTAATCGTCAAACAGATTATGCCGTTGCGATTGAAATGTCGAATTTATCTATGGGGGAGCCCTTGTAGTTGAATTGAGCGAGAATAGTTGAAATCGGCGATTGACCCTCGAAAGCACTATGCGATACCACCCAAACGACATACGATTGCAAAACAGACTTCGCCATTGTGTTGGAACTCCGTGTCACTTAAAATTGATTGTAATTTTGCCCAATGAAATTATCACGGGAAACTTGGCACGGATCTACAGGCGACAACGCGTGTATTTCAAGGAAAAGTGTACGAATCGAGATAAAATTCCTCTATTTTATTTTTGGTTGTTTAATAATAATAATAAAATTATTATTATTATTAAATTCAATTTTAAAAAATGCACCCATACCTTTGTTCGGCGCTGCTACTGCTTGTCCTCTTCCCACATTCGTACGGTCCTTCTCTCGTCTCTCTTTCTTAAAATGAGAACAAAATGAAACTTTTTCTTTTTTGTTCTTCCACACAAAACTCCTGCACAAGTAGTTGAACTCCTCACGCTCATAAGCTATTGTCCCGATCTCCTCTTCTGTGTCTGATCACCCTTATGGCGCAAGACATCGTAGAACTTCACACCTCCCATCCCGACCCAATTCACGGCTGTAGCTAACGCCTTTCCCAGCTTTCGCTTTCCCCCTTTGACTTGAATTCAAGAGCTTGTCGATCTCAAAGTAATCTTCATCTATTCTTCCTGATTCCTCCTTCCTCTACCATATGCTAGTCGCACCCTGCCCGATCCCTCCATTGTATCAGTCTCCTGTACGCAAGCAACCCGTCGACCCAGCTACTCGACATAGAACCCATCTTCCTTCTCTATCGTTCCCGACCAACTTTCGTTTAAGCCCCATCCAACTTAGCCGAAGCTCCTTGCACTTCCTCCGATCCCATTGGACTCAGCTTCTTACCTCAAACTGACCACAGCCCGATCGTACGAGCCCCGATCATCTGCGACCGACCCTCAAATCCTTCGATCGAGCCTGTTGCACTGAAGTGTACCCCTGGCCACACGTCAAAGCCCAGTCGCCCAACTCCTATAAGCCCAACGTCCATAGCTTGACCTCCGTTTCTCTATAGTCGATCAACCAAATCAGCATGACTTCACTCCTGCAGTCCTGTTGATCTACCGTGAAGTCCTCCCAAAACAAAATCCATCTCCCTATTTGATGTATAGCTGACGTCGTTCGTGTATTTTCTCCTGCAATTTGCTAGCCTCGATCGCCTTCTTGTTCGGTTAATAAAAAGGAAGGCTAGAGGGAGCCTTCGGTTGGTTCTCGCACACGATCCTTCTCCCCAGCTCATCAATCCCCTTCTTCGACTCTTGCTTCACGATTCGACCTCCTTAGTCACCTAATCCTCCTTAATTAGCCCTTCCTCATACCTGATCTAGCCTCACTCGAGCCACAGACTGACTCGTCAACACTGGCCGAACTTGCTCCCTACAACCACATATTGCAATACCATCTCCTCACAACGAACAATCCCGAGCTCCAATCCCTCCTCTTCCTGCACCTCTACTCAATAGATCCTCACTCAATCCGTGCTGAACTTCCCATATACGAGCAATCCAATCCCCTGCCCGATCTCCCATGTCGATCGGCCTCCTTTACCAAATCGATCTTCTTCCTAACTGAATCCCGCTCCACCCTGTGCCGACCTCACCTAGCCGGTCAACTATTGTCGGCCCTCTGCCACCGAACTCCACAGACATCCCAGTACGGAGCCTAACCTTCCTCTCCCTAGCCTTCCTCTTAACTACTTGTTCCTCACAGCCAAACCGAGCCCCCTCTTTTCCCAGCTTCTATGATGTGAAAACCCAAGAAATCCATCTTCACTCTATCCACAGTAGTTGATAGTCGACTATCCCCCCCTCTGTTTCTCATAAAGAAACTGATCTTTCAATTGATGTGTGACCCCTGCTCATTTCCACACACCAACACCGAAAAAATACCTCTTCTTCTTCTTGCTCATTCCACTAACATTTTATTACAATCTCTTCCAAATTTCACCCAAATAGCCACCACCAATGTTTAAAATTGCATATTCGGGTATTGAGGCATTTTTCATTCGTGAGGCGAGGCGTAAGCCTCAAGGCGTTTTGAGGCGTAAGCCTCAAAATCAAAAGATTACGTAAACATAAAATGATAAATTTTTTATGTACTAATGAGTGAATAATCTAAAACATAAAAAAGCATAAAATATGAATTGAAATCAAAATATCCTAATAATAAGACAACATGAAATATAGTTCAACTCAAAATTCTATCTTTCCCAAATCTCAGTATTCTTTTCATTAACATATAATTCCAATTTCCAAAAACAAATAACAATGACATATCACATAAGAACTCATAAGTCATCAACACTGTCATCACTAAGAGGTTCTTCATTTGAATTATTATTATGATGAACTGCTCTCTCCCCTTCCTCCTCTCCTATAGAGTCCAATGTCGGGCATTTACTTCAAGATTTATGTAAGTTTTAATATATATAGCGTGAGGCGTAAGCCTCTTGCTAGTGAGGCGAGGTGGGCCTCAAGGCGGGCCACTTCTAGTTGAGGCCCGAGCCTCATAAAAAAAACTTGAGGCGTAAGCATCGAGGTGTTTTTTACTGGAATTGCGCAAAGGCGGGCCTCAAGGCGAGCCTCATATTGCGCAATTTTAAACCATGGCCACCACCCTCATCCTTTCTCTCTCCTTCTCAATATCACCATTATTATTAATAATAATTATCATTATTATTAAAACAACAGAGAAAGAAAAGGACAAAAATAAAGAAGAAAATAGAGATTCAAATTTAAAGAAAGAGAAAAGAAAATCGTGTGCATGTTAGCCATTGCCTCGACACCGACAAGGTCACCATCGATTCCACTTATGCAAGGTATAAATGTCGCTAAACTCAAATCCCAAATCTCTTTTTTGGCGCTTGCAGCGTAGCGAACAACCACCTATGCGCATTTTTCTTAGCGCGGTGGGATGAAACTTGTTGCGATGCTTGCAGCAGGGTGGGTAAGCCTTGTGCACGTTTTTCTTAGTGTGATGGGGTAAAATTTAAGTACTTGTATATGAGCTTCTATGCCTGTGAGGAAAAACTACAAAATTTTATATGGGTTTCCCTAAAGACCAATGCACACCTTGGCGTGGTGAGATTAAAGACCACGATCGCATTGTTGCCCGACACCAACCATGCACGTCTTCCTTGGACGTGGTGGGTAGGCTAGGATTCTCAAAACTTTTCCTAAAAGAGGGAGACGTGGGGGGTTGCCGAAATTCAAATTGACGGGGGATAGAACTTGTATAAAAATATAAGAGACTTAAAAAAAACTGCATGAATTGAACCTAATATCTAAAGCCAAAAAGCTATAATTCATAAAATAACACATTGAATATTAATATGCAAGCAGTGATGAGTGGTGAACAATGAAACTCAGCTAATGCTCATGTTAACCAACCTATGAATATGATGAGTCAATATCAGTTTATTTTTTATTTTTTATTTTATTTTATGAGTCAATATTAGTTGATTTGCAAAATGAACGCATTAATTCCCTACAAACATCGACAATTGACATACGAAGATGGTGGTAATCCACCAACAAAATATGTTTGAGGAAGTTGTAAGGAACACGGCTTGCTTATAGCTAACGCCAACTAGTTTGCAAACAACATCATTAATCTACCTCCAAGTGATAACAGGAAATGGTGGAGGATCCGTTATATATACATGATGGTTTTTCCTACAAACTTATGACCAGTATGGTTTGCTTGCAAGTGGGGGACATAAACTTATGAAGTACACAACACTCCATCTACAAGAAACATTAGAAAAGTTGCAATGAATGCAAACACCTATGATACTAGAAGACTTGTGATGTACACAATGTTTCATCTACATGCAACAGTAGATGAATCATCATTTACACCACAACTTGCTCACAGTCAATGCCAGTTAACTTGCAGATGAACACATTGGCTCGCAAACAATAGCACTGGAAACCATCCTACAAACATATCAAAGAAGACTAAAATGAAGACGACAATATGTTCATGGGAGAGATGTAACAAATGTAACAACCTCTCAGCGATCAACATCAATTTGCAAATGAACACACCAGTTTTCCTGCAAGCAGTGATAGTTGATATGCTAT